TTTCTTGTTTCTTTGCCTCCATAGTGAGGTGAGTTTGCCTGAAATAGTTGATGCCTTGTCCTACTTCATGGGTTCACTGGAGATGATTCAGTGCTCGTGTCTCCCAGGTATTGATAATTAATATTGTATTTTTCAGATTGGCCTTCAAGGTGTCCTTTAATTCTTTTGCTCACCTGTAGAGCAGTGATCACTGGGAAATTGGGAGTATATTTACTCCCAGGGAAATTGGACCTGTTTTGGGAGCTGGTTGTCAGGCATCCTAATGACATGTCCTGCCCAACAGAGCTAGTGCAGTATAAACATGGCTTCAATGCTGGTGGTGTTTGCGTTAACAAATGCCAGGATACTGGCATTTGTTCTTCTGTCCTTGCAACTGATATGGAAGATTTTCCAAAGACTTTGCTGATAGTAATGTTCCAAGGCTTTCAGGTGTTTCTGATACATTGTCCAGATTTTATACCCGTAACTGGGTAGGGATGACAATAGCATGATAGACAAGAAGTTTGGTTTGGGTCCTGATGTCACAGTCATCAAAGACACAATTGCAAAGACATCCAAAGGTAACACTGCCTGATTTTATTTGGTGTTGAATATTATCATTGAGGTTAATTTTTTGGGAAAGTTGCCTACCCAGGTATAGCAAATCCTGAACATTCTCCAACAATTGTGTGGAGAAGCAGGTGGTTAGTTTGGAGTGGACTGGTAAAGTATCTTTGTTTTTTGTGACAATGATGGTGAGTCCAAACATTTCTTATGCTTAACAGAAACAGTTGAGTGACCTTGAGCCCTTCAGTTGAGTTGGGCACACATGACACAGTTGTCAGAGTACTGAAGATCAGTAGCAGAGGGGTTGGGTGTCTTGGATTTGGAACATAACCAGTTGATATTAAAGAGATTTTGGTCCATGCAGTACTGGATGCTGACTTCAGATGGAAGTCTGGCAGCAATGTGATATGATATAGCTGCAATATAGATGGAAGAAAGCACTAGAGTGATCACACATCCTTGCTTGACTCCAGTCCTAATGGTGAAGGGGTCCATTTTTGAGCCTTTGCTTAGGACACTTGCTGTCATGTCATCAAGAAGTCTGGTAATAAATTTTAGTGGGCATTCAGACCTCCTTAGATCTTCCATAGTACCACGCTGTTGATTGAATCAAAGGCCGTAGGTCAATGAAGGAGATGTAAAGAGCACTTCATAGCACTTCTGGAGCTAATTAGCAGCAAAGATCATGTCTATTTATACCTTTGAATGGTCAGAAATCACATTGGGGCTCAATCTCCAGGGAGATTGAATCTATTGAGCAGGGAGAGTAAATCTATTGAAAATGCAGGTGAGGATCTTCCCAGCTTATAGACAGGAGTGAAATGCCATGATAATTGCTGCAGTCTGGTCCATCTCCTCTTGAATTGTGATTCTGACCACCTCAAGTCAATGAGAATTTGTTCATATTTCCAGATTTTCAGAATAATGGCATGTAGCTGGTGAGAGAGCTTCTTCCCACCATGCTTATAAATTTCAGCTGGTGTTCTATCAGGACCACATGTTTTGTTGTTCTTCATATGTTCAAGGGTTTAGGGAGGCTTCTTTATAATTTGGTGTGCCTGCAAGGTAACCTTTAATAGGCTATTGTGGAGTGGCTATGATGGTATTATCTTTGGTAGAATCTCAGTTCAGAAGCTCTTGAATGTTCCTTCAACCACACACTGATGGTGGAGCTGCCTTTAAAGGGCGACATTCCATCTTTGGACCTCCAGAGGGATGGCTTCTTGTGTGCTTGGCCATAGATAGCTTTGGTTTCATTGAAGAAACTATAGGACAAGAACAACAGAATCTCAGCTTGAACCCCTGAGATGCATCATCAATGACATTTAGTCTCCTCCTGGAAAAGGATGACAGTCTCAAAGCAGCCATGGGGGATAAACCTGTCCTGGCTTCCAGGTAAGCCAACCTCTAACAGCATCCCTCAAGCAACAGGCTATATACGTCTTATTCTCAGCAGGGCCTCAGACCCAAATGCCTTCTCTGTCCAAATGTCAATATAGACCACATCACTATACTGAACAACATATATGATAACATCAGAGGTTCACTTGGTTGCAGTTCTGCCAATGTCATATATGCCATCACCTGCTCACAGTCGCCCATCTGTTCAATGTGGACAGCAGAGGAGCATTCCTGTGTGACGGAATAAGTGAATGTTGATCTACATCAGCTGCAGAAAGACGCTCAGGTCTGCAGCAAAATGCTTTAACTTCCCTGGACAGTCTATCACTGGCTGGAGCGCATGACTTTTCTCAGGCAGCAAACCTTTTAAAAACTCATTTGAATTGGAAATTGAGGAACAAGAAATCATCCAGAGACTGAATTGTGTTGAGTGTGGTTTAAATGTGGACTAGGGATTCTTAGCCCATGCCTGGATTAACTTTTGGGTTTATTGCTTGCATGTTTGCCACTTCCTTGCACTACCCTGTCCCCGCTCTCCCACTCCCCTTCCTTCTGTTTTTGGTGTTCAGATTTCTTTCTCTCTTCTATACACAGCTTTGTGCATGTTCTTTTACAGCATCTGATAATGTGAACGCTAGCCTATTAAAGCTTGTGTTATATAATATAATATAATATAATATCGACTTTGGTTAGTCTGTAAGGTGCAAGTCTGTCTGCCTTCTATTTGACTTAAGACTAACATGGCTAGCTGTAGGCCTTGTTACACCTTATGCTGTGAGCCACACAAGTATTCACCTGTGTTAGTGCCAGCTTGGAGTTTTTAGAGCACTCACACCCTTAAGTCTAGAAACCTCTGACTCTTCCCCACCTGCACAGCCGTGATTTGCCACTGGAGCAGGGGTAGGCAGCCCCCAGTACAGGTGCCAGAGAGTGGCATGCAAAGGTATTTTGCTTGGCATGTGAGCCTCGGAGCAGATGGTGGGGAAGAGGCCAGGGCTGTACTGCCACAGCAAGGATCAGGCCCCACGCAGCTTTGCCACAGTCTGCCCCTGACACACTAACATTTTACAGGTCGAGGATGTGAGTGTTTTTGGCATTGTGCCAAAAAACATAGCTGACCCTCACACTAGTGGCCTGGTGAGTAGGGGTAGAACTAGGAGCTATAGCTGTGAGCTGCCACTAGAGGGCTGGTGAGCCAGGACAGGTCACTATCCATGTTCTGTGGGGTGGGGGTGTGAGAGATCCTGGGATACTGGAGGGCTTCAACTTGGGCAGTACATCTGTGGGGAGTGGCCACACCTTAATGGAACAGGAGCTAGGTAGTACAGTTCAGAGAAAATCCTGACCTAGAGTGGCTTAACTTTGAGCCACATAACAAGTGCTTAAAGCCACTTTAATGTGTGGACAATCTAGGTGTTAAGGCAGGGGTGGGCAAAATGTGGCCCACCAGACCATTCTGTCTGGCCTGTGGGGCCCCTAAAAAATTTAGTAAATGAATATTTATTTGCTTCTGGCTGCCTGTCAAAGGTGACAGGAGCCAGGGGCAGTAGGACCCAGGGGGGAGCCGGCAGGACCAAGCAGCCCAGCCCTGCTCCACCCCCAGTCATTTCCCTGCCTTCCTGCCCACGCACTGCTCCAGCATCACATGGCCCCTAGCTGCATTGCCAGACTGGGGAGCATGGGCTATGCCGGTACCCCGGGGCTGGAAGTGTGAGTGTAGGCAGGGGCAGAAGGGGTGTGTTCGTAGGGCGAGTCACACACGCACACCCCATCAGAGAGAGATGCGCACATGCACACCCCCTCTCACTGCCATACACACAGCCTCCCACACCTCCTCACATACCCCAGCCACCCTACCCCACCCACACCCCACATATCCACACACAGCCACATGTTCCCACACCTATCCACTCCCACAGATGCACCCATGCACTCTCCCACACCCCACACACCCACAACCCCCCACAAATGTATACCCACCCCCACAACATATGACTTCATTTTAAGCTATTGTGCAATCACCTCTATGTACACTACACAAACGCATGTAAATCAGGACAAAAATATTTTTTGAAATTAAATTAATGAATGTTGTAGATGTTTTCTTTTAGAATCTAATTTGGTATTTTTCTGGTTCCGAGATGGCAAAAGCCCTTGCTGAAAGGAGTAATTCTGGGGGCAAGGGGAGGGACTTCTGGTGGCAAAGGTTAGGGGGTAGGACTTCTGGTCATAAGATGGCAACCAGGAATGGGGTACTTGTCAAGGGGCAGGGCTACCCATGCAGCCATCGACAACTTGCCCAAACTCAGTTAGTGGCCCTCCACCTGAAATAATTGCCTGCCCCTGGGTTAAGAGCTCCAGGAGTTGCCCAGAATTACCATGTAACAAGGCCTTACATCTCTGAGTGCCCTTCAGTTCAGTAACAGCCTTTTCAACATAACCTAGTGAGGTCTTCCCTTGAGTCAGCTCCATATCCACTTCATGAATGTAGCACTGATCCTCTTCCTTGTCAGGCTGTCCAGTAATTTCTTATGAGCCGGGATCCTGGTTTTCTCTGTGTGAGTGAGAGTTGAACACACTTTTTTAATTGATATATTTACAACTTTAAAGCAATTTGGAAACCTACCAGTGGCTTAATCACTATAATAAAATACATTTTAAATACCTATACATCTTGGCGTTTGATTTGGGGTATTTTATCATGGAAAATCAGAGCTGTCCCTCCCCTCTTCACTCACCAGAATGAGGATCCAGCTGTGGCTGTTTTCCTTCCCCTTGCCCCCCCCAGGCCACAATCCCCCAACCCTGCCAGTGCCCCTTACTCCTGGCCCACAGTCCCCTGGGCCCTGCTGGTGCCTCTCTCCTGGCCCACAGCTCCCGCCCTCCCTCCGGCACTGCTGGTGCTCCTCACTCCTGGCTCTCAGTCTCCAGCCCTGCCAGAGTGGGGTGGGGGGGGGGCCCACCTGCCAGGGCTGTAGAGCCAGGGACCTAGGTCCGCAGTCTCCTGCCCTTCTGCAGCAGCACCTGAGACTGTCACTCATGGGAGGTGATGGCTGCTGTGGCCCAAGTGGAGTATGGAGCATAGCTACCCCTGTCCCACAGGTGGCATGGCTGGAATGGAGCCCGTGGCGGGGGAAGGGCAGATATAGGTTGCATGATGTGGGCTTGAGGCTCCCCACCCTGCTGCCTTCTTCCCAGGGATGTCTGAGGCCCAGCAGGTGGGACCTGGTGCGGCAGGGCAGAGTTGGGTAGGGAAATTCGATGCTGTAGCTGGGAGCCCCGTGGTGCCATGGCAAGGTGTCCCTGCCTACTGGGCAGCAGTAGGGGGCATAACAACAATGTGCCACCACACTCGGCTGCTGCCAGGTGGGCAGGGGGCACCTTCCCATCATGGTGTGGGCCTCCCGGGTGTGGCACTGAGCCTCCCTACCCTGCCCTGTTGGGTCAAGTCAGCCTGCTGGGTCACAGAGGCCCTGGGGGGATGGTAGGAGGTTGGGGACCCCTGAGCCTGTAGCAAGCAGCTTGCATCTGCCCCTATCCAGCCCACAAATCTAGGGGGATTTGCGTACCCCGCCATGTCCCTCGGGGAGTGCGTGTAGTGGTGGGGAGCCAG